TTTATGTGAATAATAATGAACCAACCTGAGGGGTGAAATGACTGAAATGATTTCTCTTCTCTCCCTGTTTCTCTTTGCAGAACTGAAGACTATATGAAGTTGTCCCTAGCCTCCTCCTAAAGGCATCCCTTGGCATCTTTAAAGGCTTGAGAGAAATACCAAAACCAACCAAACACACCCATAAGAGAAATCCATAAACCCTCAAAATTTGGGATCCCCTCTTGGTCTGAAGTTGAGTTCTTCAAAAACTCCTGTGGTGTCAAGTTTGAGGAGATCCTGTTGTGTGGCTCCATGGACTGGGGCTGGGCCCAAGCAGTGACTTGAGTTGTGTTTGGGGAACTGGGATGTCCCAGGAGATGAACCTTCCTCCCTTTCCCCCAAACAGAACCCAAATTGGACGCTAAATATGCAGCGAGTCTATTAGTTGTGTTCATTATCATGTATTAGGCCTGCCTTGAAATCTGTGTTGTTTCTATATTGGGGTGAGCAAACCATAGGTCTTCTCCCAGACCAGCCTGGACCTTATACCAGACTATCAAGTTGTTTCTTCCTGGGGCCAAACTCCTCTTTATTGCTGGGGGGTGGGAACTGCCTATGATTTCAAATGTTGTACAAAGCTGCTTTATTCTGAGGGGTGGAGGGACAAGGTGGAATCCAAGTGAGGGATGGCAGATGGTAGCTGGACCGACTCAGATGTTGCTTCTGTAGTTATTTTAGCGGAGAACTGATTCTGTAGGTAGACAGACTGACTCGAGAAGTGATAAAGATTGATAGTTTAGCTGTTCTGCTTGTGGTGGAGGTTTAGGAGACCATGCTTTGGCTGCTGTTAATATCTGGATTCTCACTTTTCCCTGCTCTGGTTCCCAAGAGGAGAGACCCAAGGAGGTAGCTGTGGCATCAGGGGTTCCCTTTGGCTCAGGATGAGATTGTGGGGGTCCTGGAAGAGACACCCTCCCCATTCCTCTGCCTGCCTGCTGTTCCAGTGCCCTCTTCTCTTGCCAGCCCTGTGGCTTGACCACTGGAGCCAGAGCTCAGCATTGCTCCTCAGCTCTGTCACATATAGATGAATTTGGCTGGGTGTGTATAACTACTTCAGACATAGCAGGTTTCAAATCAAACCCAGCTAGTTTGCGAGAGTGAAAGAGGGCCCATGTCCTCTAACCATGTTGTAGAAACACCAGGCTGGGTGGGGGTGCGTCCTTCAAAGTTTCTCTCTCACTGCAGGACAACTGCCTCTTGGCTATCGCTGCAAACATATCAGAAACCCAACCGGCTGCTTTTCTGCCCCCCCCC